GCAGGGCTTCAATCATGCAGTTATGGCTGCCATCTTGACTTGGTTGACTTTCCCAGCAGACATCTCCTTTCAGCCCTGGTCACTCTGCTCTTGGAGTATCCAAAGTTTTAATCCTCTTCTTAGATGGTTGGACATCTCCTTTTGGTGAATCAATGGGATCCTTAAGCCATCATGCATTTGGCCCACCTGAGCAACTCGTATATTGTGGGTGGGGGGAACCAGACGGGTCTGAAAATAGAAAACCGAAACCAATGCTTATCATTTGGAGTAAAGTCAGGGCTCCACTTCGATAAGGGGAAGAGTTCACAGGAGTCCCTCTGCTCTTTGGGAGGCAACCCAGTTCTCTGATGCTGCAGCTGGAAGAGATTAGGAAGCATGCTGCAACCCTGAGATTCTGAGCCAAACCAGAAATGCTGGGTTTCTCAATTTAAAAAAAAAAAAAACGGTAGTCTAGATTAATGACATTTCCACCCCAAACTGGCAGTTGTGCTGGTCTCCAGTTTGAACCTCTTGAGGATGTTACAAGGAAATGCCATCTTGGTTCAGTTGCCTTCTACAAAAGAGATGTGAGGTTCCATTTCTGTGTTTTACGCAGGACGGATCTCAGAGGGGTCGGTCTCTCTGGATGTGGATTGGGTCTAGTCCTCTGGCATTTGAGAACTTGCCCAGTGTATCCTTCTCTGTCTCCAGGGTTAGAAGTCTAACTTTCAGTGAAAAACAACCAACCCAGCCAAGTTCTTCTTTGATAATGAACACCTTGGTTTCTCAGCTGTGAACCTGTCAGTTGATTTTGCACAGCTGGTTTGTTTGGCTGGGGTTTACATCATTGGCTGGTTCACACAATGCATTAAGCTGAACCCAAACAAACTATGACTTGAATTCTTGTTTGCTGCTGTCACAGCATGTGTCCTCCTCCTGTAGATCTTGGGAGGGAAGCAGGCTAATGATTTCTGCCCCATTGGTGACTACAAGCGGCCTGTTAATGCCTCTCCTGTGGTTTCTCCTTTGACAGAAAGCCTGTGTGACTTCTGTTGCACTTAATGCCAGTATAAATTATGGTTGCCTTGCTGAAGCAAATCTCTGTTGAGTATTAAGCCTGCAAGGAATGAAGAAAGACCGTGGAAGCCATCTGCTTTGCTCCTCCAGCCTCCTGTTCCTATCAGAATCTCTGGGCAAGCGGTGTTGTCAAGGAGACACCTGTGCAAATATGGAAGTGGAGGATGGGTTTTGTCTTTCCTTCTCTCTCTCTTTTGCTCCCCCATTGATTTAATCTCTATGAGCACCGTTGAGTTTTGATCTGATCTTAATCAAGCTGTTGAGAGGACAGTTGTTGTGACGTCTCAACTGTTGCAATGTTACTGTGACTTTTTGCTTCATTCTGGAGAATGCAAGGGAGGCCTTCTCCTTCAGGAAGGGTTTTCTTCTTGACTTCAGTTGAGTGAGAAGCCATAACTGAACCAAATTCATCTAGTCTTTCAAAACAAAATGGTGTGTCTCTCTTCTGCCTCCTTGGAGTGGGTTGGGGAACTGTAAATGGAGGGACAGGACCAGCCTGTCCTACTCTTCTCTCAGCATCAGATGGAGCCCCCTACTCAACATCTGGTGAATCTTCTCTGGCTTAGAAGCTCAGCTGGGTCAGACTTGGGAAGACCATCAGACTGAATTCAGAAGTTTGAAGAACAGCCTTGAAAAAGTCTGTAGCAGCTCGCTTTCATATTGTTGCTATCCACTTCGCTGTTAGAAGTTGGGCTTGACTCAAGGTTATCTGTGCTTTCATAATGTAGTTGGCAGTCTCTGTGTGATTTCCCCCCCCCCCTTAATTTCCTCCTTCCTGCTGTTGGAAATTCGGGGAATGTTGAAGACAGCAAGCAGAGTGAAGAGATGAGGGGAATGGTACCCTTCTAAGAGAAGGATGTTCTGCAGACCGAGAGACAAGAACGTGATGCATCAAAACACATTGTGCATCTTTTCGCCGGTTGCTAATGGACTGTTTCTCTGGCAAGAAAAAAAATAGAGAAAAAGTAGAGGAATGAAAAATGCCCTGGGGGAGACAGGACAGTTGCATGCACTCTCTCTCTTTCTCTCTCTCACACACACACAGACATATATATAATCATCTGTGAACCTGCACTTGTGGGCCATGAGTATGTTTAGCCTGGAGGAGAGAAGACTTCAGGGAGACATTATAGCGGTCTTCTATTATCTGAAGGGCTGTCATGGAGAAGATGGGGCACAGTTCGGAGTTGTTCCAGAGGACAAGACAAGAAATAAGGGGCTTAAATGATAAAATAATTGAAATTATGGGCCACTGGTTGAATCTTGAGCAATGCCTCGAGAGTTGATCTGGCAGGTGTTGCATCACTAGAGTTAATCTCTAGTAATTTTGCCCAGAGGTTGTTTTTTTTGGAAACCTTCATGTCCTGCAGAATCTAGGGGGAAGGGGCAGGAGATCATGGTTCTGAGGCAGCTGGCTGGGGAAAAGATTTGAGCGAGGAAACTGGGCTGTTCAGGCAAGCAAATCGCAGTTGCATACCAGCATCCCCTTATAAGGAAAAATGGCCTGAGACAAAAAGCTTGTTTGAGTCTGTTGTTGAAAGAGCAGGGTTGGGAGGGGGATATGGGGAGACCTTCGTGCGCAGATCTTCCCAGCAGCCCGTTGGTGCTTTAGCTGATTGCACACCCAAGTAGATGCCTGCCAGTGAAATGTGTGTTTAAATGTACGTGTCTCAAAGCTTGTTCAGTGGGAAATCAGGTGGGGAAGGGGGGCAGACACCTTCTCCAAGTCCCCTGCATTTCCTTTCTTGCTCTGGGTTCAAGGCATTAATAATGACCTCAAAGTCTAATTCCCCTCCCGCCAAGGAGGCTCTGTGCGGTGTCTCTGGGCACTTCCTCCTTTCACCCAGCCTCTGCCTGCTGGTCTTGGGTTCTTTGACCAAGGATTTCAGTCACTCGTGATGTCGAGCGACAGTCGGAGGATTTTTAAGTCAAGGACGTCTGGAAAAAGTTAGCTTAGAAGAGGCAGATGACCAAGTTCACCCTTTCTGTTCGATCAAGGAGTTCTGAAGGCCATGTATTGGGGAATGGTGTAACGGTCAAGATAGTTTGACCCTTAGTTGGGCAGTACAATGTGCGACTGCAGGCTAGTCACTATTCCTCCGCTCGCAAAGCAAAGGTAGGGGAAAAGCCGTAGATGCAGCGCCCAATGTGTGAGAAGGTTTGTCCCTCTTCGTCTCTCCTCCTGGGACCGGATGGGGTTAAGAGTAGGCCATCCATGGCTCTTCAGCCTTGTCATCCGCCTCTGTGCTCCTGGCTGGCCTGACTAGCTGTTTAGACTTGCTGTCTGTCTTGAGTAAACTTCAGACCTCTTTTAACATGTCCTCTGGCTGATCTCACCACAGCCTTCCTTGAAATGCTAGAAGGAGAAACGGTGTGATTGTCGTCATCTCTCCGGGCAAAAAGCAGATTCGGCTACTGCTCTGCTTCTCCCCCACCTTCTCCTTCATCATGTGAACATTGCTCCAGGATCAGTGCCATGACACTGAAACCCTCATGGGGAAAGCTTGTGTTGGGGATGTAGGATACATTAGTTGAGTCAGACCTTGGTCTAGCTTGCTTGGGATTGTTTCTCCTGACTAGCAGCAAATCTGAATTTTTTTTCACAGTCTTCCGGAGGATGCTAGGGACCCAACAGATGGAGCATTGTTGTTTCCATGACCTGTGGACTGTACAGTTTAAGACAAGCATTAAACAAGAATCAAGTACATTTCAGAGTCTGCAATTGTGTTTTGTGCTCTCATTATTTCTTTATGATGTGTCTGCAAATCTTGAAAGAAATAGAAATCTTGTCCCATCTTTCTTTTACCTGGTCCCTGTTAGGTGTATTTGGCTCCATTCCCCAGAATGCCTCTTTAGGTGGACATTAACCATGCTGGGTGGGAAGAGTCATCCCAAGACATTGAGAGGATGTCATTTCTTTCTCTTGCTTCATAGAGTAAAATGAAAGGAGATTATGCACTGCAGGCAAATGGGAGTTCGTGCACGATTCATTGGGATGAGAGGAGGACCAACTCTTTGTTGATATTTGACTCTGTCCTGCTCCTTGTTTTGGAAAGCTGCCCTACATCCTTGCCAAGTTCTCTTGGAAGTCTTGCAGCAATTTAAGGAAGAGGAAACTAACATCCAGCAATTTTGTGTGTGTGCAGGCCTGCACACTTTTAGGGTGTTGAGTTGGTGGTTGAAGAACACCTGCAAAAAGAAGACATACACATTTAGAGAGTGTGTACGTTTGTGTGTGTGCGTATCTTGGCCAGGTGGTGTGAGCCACCGAGATAACTTTTTGTATGGAAACTACAGTAGAGAAAGTAGGATGTCTCATCTCCTTGGCTTTGTCTTCCTCCTGTGATACTTTTAGCCCCAATCGATGTTGTGTCTTGCCTTTTTTTTCTGAAGCTTCTTCCCATGCTGTAAACAGAAAGAAGTGGTTGCCAATTTTAAAACAGGCATTTAAAATTACTGGGTTAAGAAAAGCAGGAGGTGAGCCCATTTTCAGTTTGCTTTTCTTAAACAGGAAAATGCAGGGTTTGGAAGGGTGGTTTTAGGTGTGCGACCTCGCTGAGACGTTCGATGGGGCCAAACAGTGAAAGGTCAAGCACGGAGAGAACTTTTGTGCTTTCGAACTTTGAATGAAAACCGGGGACATGTTTCACCTTAAACTGTCCTAAAAAGGATTGGTATCTGAGATTCTGGGAGTTGTGGCCCCAGTATATATGTCGGGGGCCAGGTTGTAGAAGCGCTTAAAAAAAAACAAACCCTACTTATATATGGGTCTGAGAGAGATACGTTTCCAAATACGTTGCATGATAGGAAGAAAAGAAACCACTGCGGTCTCCCCAAAATAATTCTGCCATATTTGAGAAAGTCTGTCTGGAAGAACTAAGGGGTGCCGTTCATAGTTTCTCTTCCTTCCTTCTCACTGCCTGTGTCCTCCATTTACTTTCCAGCCTACCACCTTGCCACAAGGAACCATCAACATGAACCAGTGTACAGATGTTGTAGATGGAGAGAATCGAACTGGGCAAAAATTCTCGCTATGTATCTTGACTCCGGAGAAGGAGCACTTCATCCGAGCTGAGAACAAGGAAATCATCAGCGGGTGAGCGAAGGACTTCAAGAACTGGTGGGCGGCTGCATCTGAGAGCTATTCAGAATGGAGGACCAGGATGTTTCTGAGATAGTCGGAGTGTGTCAATGGCGTTGCTCGTGAGGCTTGCAAGCGGCGTTTCTGTCAAGAAGGGGGTTGTTTCTGTATCTGACCATCTTTGAGGAACCTTTTTCTCATGACCTACAAGTTGCAAATCACACTGAGGTGCACGATGCATTACTCCAGTGTGGGTTAAAAGAGCATCAGGGCATATGTGTTCAGGCCTAGTGGCTCTCCCACAGAAAATGGGGGGGGGGGGGGGGGAGGGGTAGGATATCAGCTGCTTCAACTGAGAGCCATCGTCAAGCCTCTGCATTGGCCAGGCATTGTGTATGTATGAGCTGACCGGGGTTCTGCCTTAGATTTCCCTGGCCCCAGCCTCACCTCAGGTATTCTCGGCTCTTAACTACTCTCATTTCCCTGATGATCCAGAACACCTAGAGGGGAGGGCACAAAGTTGCAGAAAGCAACCTTATTAGTCAGCACCGAGGACCTTCTGCTTGCAAACTTCAGAGCAGCCTCACAACCTCTCAGGGAACCACAGAACCTGTTTGGAGAATATCTATCGTAGGTGAGGATGCGGTTAGGGTTATCCACAGTCCCAAAATGTGGATGTTCCCACTCAAAAAGGCCCTGTCCAACCTAGGTACAAACTCAAAACCTCTGCCTCGTTTTGAGCGCTGTGCCATTCCTGGTGAATTCACACCCGGATCCAGCATGTGTCCGAGACTGACATGTCTGCATGGTTCTTGCAACCACGTGGCCCTTCTCGTTGTCCTCCTCACTCATTTTGGCTCTGACGTTGTTTTCTGCCTCATGTCCTTCCTGGCTATCCTCAAAAGTCCCTCCATTTTCCTCTATAACCTCCTTTCTCAAGGCTTCCAGTAGAGCAACTGAAATTCCCGGGGGGAAATTGGCATGAAATATTTATTCTTTTTTTTCTCCTGTTGAGCTACAGTACATGCTGGGGTCGAACGAGTAGGGAACACTGAACAGTTGGGGGTTTAATAGGTGAATCCAACTGCCCTGACCGCCAATTTCTGGGAAGCTGGAGCAAAATCATTCTTTGACCTGCTCACTAACCAACCTTGGTTGGTCTCAAAAAACTAAGGAAGGTCGGACTGATTAGTATTCGGAGGGGAGATAGCTAGAAATCCAAGAGATGTAGGCTGAAGTCTGAAGAGGTGGCCACAGCAAACACGGGTGTGTTTGTGAATTCACCAGGAATTGCACAGCGCTCAAAGGAGACTTCCTTTGTTTATCCCAGCCCTTGGTCTCCAGAGAGTGTAAGGGGGAAGCACACTTCCTTTCCTGGCTAAAATTGGAGGCCAACTTCTGACAAACGTTTTCTGTTTAAAGAGAGTAGGAGATTTTGATTAATCTCCCTTGGCAGAGCTGACAGTGCAGGGCTTGGTTTTAGTCAACAAACAAACAGATCACAAAATAGATCCTGCCAGCCTCAAGGGTGCCCATCCCTGGCTGAGAGCCTCAGAAAGCTGGAGAGGATCCTCAGTTTTCCAGCCTGACTTCGAATCTGACCCGCATGGCATTAGAAACAAAATCGAGATGAATGGCTCGGGGCTGGGAGCATGTGGGGTTGAAAGGGCTGTGCTAAGGGCACCCGGGAATGCCTGTGCTTAGTATCAGGCTGAGACAGAGAACTATAAAGGAGATTGTGGCAGGGTGGCATCTCAAATTGATGGCGTGCTGGCCTCTTAAAACCTGTAAATCCTGAAATAGATGAATGTAAGGAGGAATGGGAGTGCAAACAAGCCGAACCCCAGCGAGAGAGAGATGGGGCAAGCATGGAGCTGTATGCAACCTGCCCAGCAAGATCGGCTGGTTCTCGTTGGGTTGTTTTGCTGCCTCTTGTTAATCGGGTCCCGTCCCCTCCTTGGAGGACGGTTTTCCTGCTGAGCCCACAATTGAGTTATTTGTGGCCGAAAGAAGATGTGTGATTGTTCAGATACGTAAACAATGGCAGAGCTGGCATTGTTCTGGGGAAGCCTATGAGATCGCAGCTGGGGTGGCTGGTGGCTCGCTGACCTTGGGAAGAAACGGGCTACCGCTCGCTTGAGGCTATGAGAACGTCCTTGGGCACAGAGCCCGCTGAACAAGAGAGGGTGCAGTGACAGCCTGCCTTAGCTCCTTTCTGGCGAGCTTCAGACGTTGGTTTTGCAGAAATGGGATCCTGGAGCTGGTCCTGGCACCTCGCAGAACTTGAGGGAGTCACAGGTTCATCCCACAGAGCTGTGAAAAGAAGCAGTTGAGGAAACAGCTCCTTGGGAAAATACTATCCGGCTGACAGGTGGGCAGGAATCCAGATCTAGGGAGCAATCGGTTTGTCTCACCCAGCAGTGACACCCATGAGCTGCATGGGGCTTGTGCAAAGGTTGGTTTGCAGAAGTCAGGACGCCCCAAGTTTCATCTTCCTCTCTACTTGCCCTCCTCCAAATGAGCAGAAAGCGTTGAGGTGCAGATGCTTGCAGGAAGAGAATTCCCAGGGGACAAACAATCTGAGTTGATTTTCCCTTTGTCCCCAGAGAGTCGTCGTCTTTTACTCTTTTTTCACGTTCTCTCCTCGATGTGTTGGTATATATTTCTTCAAAATGTTCAGTTGGTTTTTCTTTAAAGTAGGGGGAGCCTCCAGCAGTTGGGGAAGGGGCGGCTGCTGTCCGTTTTGTCTGGCTACCCCTCTTCAGCAGTCAAGATTCTCAACTTGCCTTCTTGCCTTCAGGTGGTTGGAGATGCTGGTGGTCTATCCAAGGACAAACAAACAGAATCAAAAGAAGAAAAGGAAAGTGGAGCCTCCAACTCCACAGGTAAAAATATGGGCACATCTGGGCTTCTCCTTATGCACCTCATTCCTAAAATTAGAACATTTTCCCCACCACTGGTTTATAAGTACGCTGCCTTGTTTCTTTCAAGTTTATCTTTGCTAAATGGGGGAGAAAAAAAAAAAACTTGGTTTACGGGAAGCTTCCAGAAGCAAGTTCTCTGCTTTTGATCAGTTTTCATTTATTGTGGAATATAAATCAACGCAGAACAGTTTGCTAGATGAGCATCTATAACTGTCACCCACAAGCACATCTTCTACATAACTGACGGGCAATTTTCAATTCCTTTTTCAGAGCTACAGGCAAGAAAAGATTCTTGATTGTTGACATGTCTCCCTAGTAGAGCTACATTACCCCACCAGAGATGGCCCTTGGAGATAAGACTTAGATGTGGTAGATGAGATGGAGGCTGAATATGTCCTCTGGGGATCTAGTGACAGCTTATTTCTAGCTCTCTTTTGACTATAAATGGTAAAACACACACACACACACACACACACACACACGATCTAGGGCTATGACTCATTCTTTCCTGCCGGAGTGTCCTACATGGAAATTGTTCAGGAGAATCTTTGAGGGTTAAAGATTCTCTACTAGCATGCTTTTGAAGTAGCTGCTGGACGTATAGACATGAGACAATCAAGATACCCATTCTGATCCATCTAGCTCAACATTATCTGCTCAGTGTGGCAGAAGCCACCCAGATTTTTCCTTGCCGAACTAGAAGGATCGGGTGCTCTTTGCTATTAATAGATCCGTGGTCTCTCCCACGCTTCAGTTGCATAACCTTCCGTGCATAGCCAGCTGACCCAACGTCATAGAGAATGGGATGCCTTGGAGTTTAATTTGGGAGGTCACTAGGGGTGGTTGTGTGAATTGCTCATCATGCAGAGAGAATAGGGTTATCTGATATTCACATGAGGTTGTGCGCCTGCTTGACTGTTCCATGGTGAATATTTCTCTGCCATAAGCAAGTATAAATCTACACTGTGAGATCCTGAATGGTTCACTTGTACCGTCAGATGGAGAATTCGATCAAGTAATTCCCATAAGTTGTGAGTCACAGAGCTTTTGAGGAGCAAACACCAGTTTACTTGTCTTTTTTTTTCTTGGTGACAAGGTAACTCAATTGCATTTTCTTGGCATCTCTTTATCTCTTTCCATTTTTGGCCTTGCAACTTGGAATCTCTTCTTCTCACCCCAGAATCTTCTGCCGTACTCCTCCCTGGTTCTCAGTAGTCCTTTCTGATCCCAAATCATCCTTCCAAGTCCTCCTCAAAAAGCAACCCTTGAAAAGTTGGAGGACTTAACATTTCCTGGGTTTGTTATCCACTCAATCAACTTAGCTCAGGATGCTCCTTGTCTTCAAAGATCTTGAAGTATCTGCTGGATCCTGCAGAGTCATGAAAATGAATCTGTTCATTTGGCCTAAATTGGAGGCTCAGGAGTCAGACTTACGACTTCCTGTAGAAGTTCTTGGGAACTTTAAGATATGTTCCACAGAAAGCTAAAACCTGTGACCCAGGTCATACCAACTAACCAAATGACCGTGTGCCTACTTTTACGTGCTTCTAGTGCACTTCTGGGTTTAGATGGTAATCACAACCTGGACCATGTACCGAAGCCCTGAAAATCATCAATACAATTCTATTTTTCACCACAGAAATCACAACAACCAGCGCTTTTAATGTATTTAATTTAATCCAATCTTTATTTAATGTAATGTAGCCCAAAATATGTCCATTGGAATAGCACTTGTCCATAGTGCAATGGTTTTTACCCGAAAGTGTACAATAGAGTTGATGTATCGAGCTGTTGCTCTGGTGTGTTGGTGTCCTGAAGTCCTTCATTTTGTGTGTGTGAGAGATGGAGAGGGCTCCCAAAAACGCAGTCTAGGCAACAGCCCCCCCCTTGCCCGTTTCCCTGTGATTGAACCCCTCTAAGCCTTTTGGGGACTTGGCCTCTGCTGAGCCAAACCACACAAGCATAGAGCAAAGCAGACATACGTGGGGTGAGCCCATCCCCCAGAGCTGTTCCTATTTTGTTCTCTTCCCCCCCCCCTTTTTCATTTTTTGGAAGCAGAACAAAAAAAGAAAGAAAATGTTGGCAGAATATTATCTCTCTCCTCTTTTTTTTGGGATTATGCTTGGTTGCCACAGCAACCTCTTGGAAGGTTGACAGGATCTGAGCTCCTGAGCACCAAATAAGGTAAGTAGGTTTGGGGTGGGGGGAGAGGTGCGAGGGAAAGGGGATCTTTTCCAAACGGGCTGCCTCTGGAGACAGAGGTGAGCCTTGGGGGAAGCAGAGCACGGCAACGCCACGTGCTCTCTAGGTGCTTTGGTGGACGGACAGGAGATAGAACGAGCTAAGGGAAAAATACTGGAGAAGTTGTGCTTCCAAAAAAGGAACCATGGGAAAAAACCTTGAGCTACGTAACCATGACTCCATTTCTGCTCTCTGCTCTTTGTTTTCCGCTCTTCTGAGGGGGAGCAAAAAATGACCCAGAATGGTTGGAAGGTGGTTGAGTTGTGCCTGGAGGAGAGCTCTCTCTTCAAGCATTAGAAGTTCTTCCTGGTGGGCTTGTCAGCGTTGCCCTCCAAACACTACATTAGATGGGATAAAACTGATCATCTGTAACATCTCGTTTTTTCTCTCCACTCAAATAACACAGGAGGGAGGAATTTGTACTTCGCTCCTCCTTCTTCCACTTCCTTTTGGAGGACCCTCAGCTCCATTTGGAGACACATTTCTTCTTGGGTGCTCATGGGGGGGGCACGTTGAGGTCACCATTTCCAACATGCTGATTCTGTGGGGTGTCCTACATTGCCCATGAATGCCTCATCTTACTTCCATTAGCTGGACACTGTGGAGAACAGGACGAGGTGGACACTTATGAGCCGATGGCACCATAAGATAGAGCTGTGCTTCCACTTTTGAGTTTTCCTGGGCTTTAGCTCAGCTTGCTTTTTGCTGGGCTTGAAATGACAGCCAGGGAAGCGATATCATTCACTCTTTGCGAATGCTGCGTTTCCAGAAGAAGATCTTGAGCTGCCTGCTGGGATCCTCCCGTGTCTGAAGGGCGTTGGAATCCCAATTACCTTTAGAAAGTCAGCCCTAGCTGAGTTTCAACTCAAGCCTGGACAGCGTATCTACAATCCTTCTCTCCTTTCCTACTCGTTGCCCTTCCTGAAAGCTTTTCTCCTTCTGCTGTTGGCTTTCTCCACTTCCCCTTGTTTCTCCCCCACCATGACTTCCCAGCGGAGCTTTCTGCTTCTTTTGGCCTATGTCCATCTTGGATCCCTGCCTCCTCTTCTCCTAGGCCCCATGTTTCCTATCCGCCTCCGTCTCTCCATCCTGCTCTTTCTAGAACTGAAGGGAACCAAGTTCCTCTAGGAGTAAGGCAACGTAGTCAATGACAGACAAGATCTTCTGCTGGACTTCTGTAATCTTTGGACCATGTCAGCAAGTTGCTGTCAGAGATGCTGTTGCTGCCAGATTCCTTGGCTGTATTGAATCCCAAAATCCTGAACGTTTCACAGCTTCCTCCTTGGGATAACGTGCTTGGATTTCTCTGCTGCTGCCTTGATGTAGCTCACTCTTTGTATGAGCTAAATTTATGTCAGGGGGAATGAAGTCTTCTATTTGTAGGTCTTTGAGTTATGTCTTGCCATAGTCTGAACTGACTTTTTTTTAGCCAGACCTGCCTGGGAAGCAGCTGGATTGCTAATTGTATAAAAGTCAAGTCTCTCTTGGTCATTGACAGCAAAAATTATTTAAAATGTCTATCTTTCTTATTAGGAAGTTGGGAAGTGTAAGGGCTTGACTCTTTCTGGTATCTCAAAGACAGTCACTACAAACTGTCCACTTGGTGCATGTCTACTTGACGCCTCCAAGCTTCAATTTTCCTCTTGTTTTCTAAATTCCAGCCTTACTCCGCAGTCATAATCTACCAGGGCAATCCTGGCTATCATGCCAAAATGTTCCTGCGCTAATGGGTCAGCACTTCTAAGGGGAAGGGGAAAGGAAGGGGAGAAATGATTGTTGGGGGAGGAATGGGAGGTGGTGGGGAAAGAATTCTTCGAAATGCCTTATTTTCTGCACTCTGAAAAATTAGATTTTGGGGGGAGAGCAGGGGAAGAAGAAAATCAGTGAAAGCCAGCAGCCCATAAAGCCCATCCCATTGGTCACTTTCGTGGCTCCCCACCATTACTAGTCACAGTGGCTCCTGTATGTCTGTTGCAACTTCCAAGTGAGAAGGTGCGCATTCAGTAGGTCATCTTTTCACGGGTGAATATATCAGGTTAGAAGAGCTTGGTGGATAAAAAAAGGCACCAAATTAGAATCCCTGAAAGCAACCGTGTTGTGATAGGTGCCACCAAATGAGTGTGCTTGGCTGTGCTGGATGCCAGCGAGAGTGTTACTGATACCACCAAGGAGGTCTTGTTTTCCATGCCATCAGGTTAGGAGCAGTCAGAGAATGGTCTCTGTTACAGTCCATGGTAGGATCAAGTGAAAGCAGGAGGTGATTCTGTCATCCCATCTGGCGGTAGAAGGCATCTCTAAGCAAATCCGCCCGGAAACACATCGGATGCCAATAATGGCACTCTATTCATTGCTCTATGAAGCCAAGCCTAGTCAACTTCCCCGTCTTCAAGGATTGCTCCATCTGTAGGAGTTCTCACGAGCTAACTGTGCTCCAAGCCAAGCGTGATGGTAATTATCCATATGCAGCTATCCATGCCTGGGGAAGGACCGGGAATCAACCCAGTGTGTTCTGTAAGGCCTCAGCTGTAGTTGTACCTGTTTGTGTTGCTGGAGTAGTTTCTGTGTATCTCCCTGGTTTACAATCTAATTTGCCAAGTGAGTGTGTGAGGTGATAGTTGTGCTCCTACAGGCCAGAGCAGAAGGTAGATCAAGATTTTCTGGTAGATCCCAGAGTAATCTGCAGATGTCCCCCGACTGAAATAAAGGAGGGAAAAATCAGGGAGTTCTGAGAAAAAGTTACTGGCCTCCACTCTTTTCTGGTATCAGCCAATTGCTGAAGTCAAGATCCTAGACTTGTAGGTGGATGTCTTTATATTTTATTCCAGTGTTTTTCAAACTTGGCAACTTGAAGATGTCCCAGAATTTGAAGTCGGTACATCTTCAAGTTGCCAAGTTTGAAAAACACTGCTTTACACCCAGTATTACTGAATGCGCAGGTATTGGACAGATAGGTTTAGTTGTCTCTAAGGTTTTTTGAGATGCAGAATTGCTCAGAATTCTGTTCTGATGTTCTAAAGGAGTCTCGGGTCATTGTTTATTATTGTCCCTGTGTCAGATTATGGCTCTCCTCTTTCAGAACCACGAATGACTGAGTGGACGATGCTCCTCATGTTTATCTATCCCCCTCTGAACCTTTCTGCTCAGCTCTGATGGAGAGGGTTGGGGAGGACGGGAGCAAAGGGAGAGTGGAATGGATGTTCTCTCCCATCCCTCAAGAACCACCGAATGGTGTGTTGTGGTGCACAAGCACACCCTTTGGGACGTGGGGCAATACATGGACCTTGTTTCTAAGTGTACCCTGTGCTCTTCTTTTTAATGTCTGGCTCCTGCCGTTGGAAAAGACGATTAAAAACTCTTCCATTCTCTCTTGTAAGCTCAACAGTTGGCCCTCTTCGCCTAGGGGAGGCTTTTGTTCGTCATTCTCTTCCCTTTCTGTTTGGCAGTCTAGCAGACTCTATAAATAAGACATTGGTGTCCACGTTAAAATGGTCTTTCCCTTTTCTCAGTTTGGGATGGGAACAGTTTCTGGCTGAAATCAAGTATGTAGAAGGAGTGTAACCAGAGGTACATTTGGTTTTTACACCCAGCAAATTTAGATTGCAAAGCTCTCCTGGAAACCAATTCCCAGGCTTGGTGCAGGGTGGCATGTTTAATTTTTGACAACGTTGGCACCCTCCTTCTGATACAGACTGCTTGAGGCAGTCTGCGGTATGAATAAAAAAGCACATTTAATGTATACAGTCAAAACCGGTATCGGATATTGAGGCGATGGTAACAGTAGGAGCAGCTGAAAACCTCGGGGCCAACATGGTAAGAACTGGGAACGTAATGCTGAACAATGGAAAAAGAGAACCAGGAGGCACAGAAGATGCCACACAGAATGCGGTGCTATTAATCTGGCACCTACATAAAAAGTCAAAGCAATTTGGGGATTCTGTCATAGTAACTGTAGTAACACACGTTGTTACCGTGAGTAGTTTGTTTTCCTCTTGGGTGTGGGACACAGAACCTGTTTTCCGTCCTAAGAGTAAGTCCATCTCTACAAATAATCCAGATCCGAGGTGCCTCAGAGTGAATGTCAACAGCACCCTAATGTCATTCTTCGAAAAGAAGAGGTGTAAGCCCGTGAATAAATAGGGGGGACTGCCCAGAACTTTAGGCATGCACGCTGCTGCTAAGAATAATGCAACTCTGTGCATTCCTTCCCTCCTTCAGGCATAGTTCCCAAGGTTGTGTTGTGTGATTCTCTGCCTTTATTCAGTGGCCCTTGTAGAGATGGGAAGTCTGGATTTGACACCATCCCAACATGGATCAGTAGAATCTAGGGTGGTGGGAGACATGTGTGGTGAGAACGTGAACGGCATCTGGTTCTTGTGAGTTGGTGTGAGACAAACACAAGCTGCTAAAACTGGGGTTGCCCACCACCCTGTTTTCCCTCCAGGAGCCTGGCCCAGCGAAGATGGCTGTGACCAGCAGCAGCATTCCCAGTGCTGAGAAGATCCCCACCACCAAGTCCACCCTTTGGCAAGAAGAACTGAGAGGCAAAGATCAGGTTGATGGGAATGCAGGCCCCCACCCAGCCCCCAGCCCTCTGCAAGGTCAGGCACCCCCAGCTTGTTCCCTGAAGGAGCCAGTCCTGGAAAGCAAAGAAGGTAAGAAGTGAGTCCTGAACATTAGTCAAAACAGAGGGCATGTCCAGGGCAGGAGATCTGGGATCCAGAGTGTCCTGAATGTTTGTCATTGGATCCTTTATCTCTGCTGTCTGGAGCCCTGGGTAAAAGATAAGGAGACAAGTTGCTTCTTCTTCTTCTAAGAATTGGTGTTGGCTTCATGGTGTCCTCATTCCAGTATGTTATGACTGAAGGGAACTGGGGGCCCTGCCAGAGAACAAGATAAGACAAGTTGTAGGCCGGCTCGGCTGTAAAAACAGTAACCTTGAGAAGCTGATTGGACTTAACTTGGGTTGCTTCAGGTGCATTCAAAGAACAGGACATTCTCGGTAACAATTTCAGGGTAACCTGTGCAGAGGAATTGCCTTTATATTGCAATTATTCAAGAAGGTTGCTGTAGGTGTCTGTGACTCTACCCATGGAGATGCATGGCTTCTTATGAGGATCTCACCACGCTTGTTAGTGGAGGCCGTGTTCCCCAGGGGTGGAATTTGAACCTCTTCAGCTTTTTATGTGCTCTGTGTCTAGAGATGTTTCTGAATCTTGAATGTTTTTCCCCACATGCACATACTTGCCCAGGAATAAACCGCAGCGTTTCTAGATTTCCCATCTCCTGATGGAGCCTCTAAGACGTTCTACACACGCAATCCTGTTCTCCGTTGCTGGGTCCTCCACTGTTTGCTTTTTAAATCTTCTGTCATAATAAGTCTGTCATATTGTTCTTCCTGAAACCGTAAAAGCCCCATCTTTGCTTCCTGCTGAGGGTGACTTTTTCCCACTGGGTGCCTAGAAAGGGAAGACCAGAAAGAGCCAGAGTTTGTTTTTGCTTTCACTGTCTTTTTTTTTCCTTGAGGCGAGCTGGCAAAAGGGATTGTTTTCCATCTTGAGGAAGATGACTGTTCCAACATAAACACCGTTTTGTAGGTGCCTTCGTTTTGTCCTTTTTGAATAAGCATAGACATTAAAATGTTAGTTAGCCCAGCCTTCTGGCAAAGAAGCTTTGCCTTTTAGGACAGGGAGATTTTTCTGTGGAGGAAAGAGAGCACTACAGGCCAGAAAATGTCCTTTTAATACAGGTAGTCCTTACTTAACAAACACTCATTCAGTGACCGTTCAAAGTTACAACAGAATTGAATGAGGGGGACTTAACGACTGGTCCTGGGAGTTCTGGACACTGTAGTGTCCCTGTGGTCATGTGATCACAATTCAGGCACTTGCTGCCCACCTTGCGATTACGACATCTCAGTGAACTGCAGTCACGTGATTGCGATTTCCAGCGTTCCTTGCTGGCTTCCCATAAGCAACATCAATAGGGAATTTGGAAGTTGATCCCACTGCTTTTTCACCCACCTGCAGCACACCCTGTGGCACCCACACACTTGCCCATGCTCCAAAGCACCTGCCTGTGGCACCCCCATGGCAGTTTCACGCCCACCGGCGTGCTTGCCTGGGACTCCTGCCTCTTCCCTCTTAACGACCTGCGCGATCCTGGAGTTACAACATTACAATGGCAACCGGGACTGCAGGATTGCCGTTGCTAAGTGATGCGGTCACATGACTTTGTGCTTTATGACTGCATCACTTAGCAACAGAAATTCCAATCCTAATTGCTGTCGTAACCCGAGGACTACCTTAGCTGTTTTTCAAATGCATCAATTACAATGAGGCTCCTTTAGCCACACGCAGTTTTAGCACTGATTCTGGTCTTAATTCTAAAACAGCAGAGCATTCCTCTAGAGCTTCTCCTGGATGTCCTTTGAACAATTGTAGCATTGCTCTCCTTCATTGGTAGCCTTCAGCTTCTGAACACTTTCTCTCAGCCCCCTCTGAACTGAAAAGATTGAGGTAGGGCGGATAAAAGTTGCAAGTCTTGGTTGGTCCTGAGAAGAGTCACTTAATCATCACTGTTCTCCGTCTTCCCTCCTGCCCTGGAGAAGGCTGATGGTGTTAGCTATGGGGAAGTACGTTTTGGCTCACCAACCCTTGGAGCCTGCCATGTGCAGGTGTGAATCCGGGCAAGGCTCTTTTCTTGATGTATCAATCAAGCCGGTCCTGTTTCTTGGTGTCCCTCCCACAAGGCCAGGAGTCTGGATTTTGGAGATCCAAAATCCGTCAGACGTCTGCACGTAGCAGAGACTAGCCTGGAGGACGGCCTCTCTGTTCTAGGAATCCTCTCCCCCAACATCTTCAGTTCTAGGGTTAACTTCTGGTTGGGCAATCATTTGCTCTGTTATTCGTGGCGATGGTATGACACGTTCTTTTGTTAGTTTGCTTGCTTAATGTTTCTTCCATCTCTGATCATTGTGCTATCCTTGGTGCTGTTTCACATCCCTCTTTGGTTAGTTTGGGGTTTCACATCCATGACTCCTTTTGCTGAACATCCTCAGAGGTCTTCGTGAGAGCTGAAGGGGTGGAGGGTAAAAGATGAATGACATCAGTAGCACACCCTCATCCCCAAGCTCGCAGCCCCAGGTGAGGGGGCCAATGTTGTAAATTTAATCCCTTTCTCTTCTCTTTCATGCTTTCCTCGTCCTCCAGAGGAGGGTGCCGTGAACGGTGACCGCAGTGATTGCGGGCGGAAGACGCGGGTAGAAAGTGGCTACTTTTCCTTGGAGAAGACCAAGCAGGAGGTCAAACCAGAGGAGCAGCCGGTGCTGAACCTGCCATCTCCCCCGAGCCCCTGCACTCCCAACAACAGGTACGGTGACCCCAGATCCCAGGAGCAGAGGGGTTCCTTTCCTTCCCCAGGTACCTGGCCGGCCGGTCGAATGGTGCACAGTTTCTCTCTCAACTCCCTGGACTTCAGAGGCCTCCACCTCTCCAAGCACGAGGAATCTGCTGGCTGCAATGGGGCGAAGATCGAGGCGAGACCCAACGGCCCCCTTTCCTTTAAAGCTAGCCGCCAGTACTCCACCCTGGCCGACGTCCCCAAGGCCATTAGGATCAGTAACCGGGATGCCTTCCAAGTAGAGCGGAAACGGCTCGAGCGGAGCTCCCGGGCCCGGAGCCCTGGACGAGAGGAAGTCGCTCGGCTCTTCGGAAACGAGAGGAGGTAAGGAACAGATCCAAGTCTTGGTGGCGCTTTTGGGCTCGTGGAGGATGAAACTGTCCTTTTGAACTGAATTCCTGCCCAAAGGACGGTGATGGTTGAAGTGGGTTGGAGCCTCCCTACTTTGGTTGGGCACCGATCTCTGAGGTTGCATTGGCAAAATAGGTGGGTCAGATGAGACATCAGGATGTTGCTGGTTCTTCAGAGAAAGCATAGGGAAACCAGCATAGATTAGTAGCATTATTTTTTTCCAGATGGCAGGGTGGTGCCTGAAAATGTATTACGGGTTGTCCTTGTTTAGCAACCACATTTGGGACCAGTAACTTGGTCGCTAAGTGAAACCGCAATGGCGCTTTTGATCTTTCTTCAGCTTGCCTTTGCTTTACAGACCTGTGAAGGTCGTAAATGTAAGGACTGGTCGTAAAGTGACTTTTTTATTACTGTCGTCGCTGCCAACGGTGGCTAAATGCTGCAGCTGCTAAACGCTGCAGCCAGTAAACGAGGACTACCTGTATTGCATCAATAGCACTCACAATTAAGAAGGAAAAAAATGTTTCAAATCATTGCTACTTGCCCCATTGCATCCAGACCCTAGAGAAGGACTTTTGCAGAGGTTGTGCAAATATAGGTTCGGAGTTTGGGCACAAAATGGGAATAATGTTTGCTTCCTTACTTTTTAAAAAAGATCTAAGTTTCTATCCCTCATTCTTCGGGAGGGAAACGGGAGCATGCACAGACAGGCCCTCCAACAGGACTGTGGGCCCTGCATGATATTTCACCACCCAGAGGGTCAAATCTGAAAGCTTAGCATGGCTTGCGCTTCGTCCTGCCTTTCCCCAGACTGCGTGGTTGCAAGCGGCGTGCATATAATACTGTCGCATTGTTCATTTGCAAGCTTGTTTGGAAGGCAGAAAATGTTTTCTGGGGACCTGAGTTCAAGCTACCCAATAAAGTTAAGGATTTTATTGCCTTAATAAGAACTGTCATTCCCCCACCCCTCTTTCAGGGCCAAACAATCCAGCAGCCTTTGCTTTTATGAACTGAGACAGTTTTGCCCTTTGGGGATGTTTTATGCTCGCAGGTAGGCAGCCGTGCGAAGACAGTCTGGTGCAAAAAGCGAGCGTGATAGACCTGGAAGTGATGCACCTGACGCCTGTTTAGGGCAGACCCAGCCTCCCTTTGTGAGAGCAAGTTGCATAGGATAAAGTCACCTGCTTGGAATCCGTTCTGCGCTGCGAGTCACTCCGACTCGGCAGCCATGTCCAGCTCAGGACGTTTTGTGCACAAAAGACGCCGGATCCGAAAGCAAATGGGGGTGCTTTATCCCGCTTGCCCAATTTAGCCATCTTTAAATGTCATCCTCCGTGTCTTAAGTTTGCCTGTCGACTAACTGAGGAATAGCTGAAGGGCAAACTGGGAGCGATAGGTAGATAGATAGACTCTGTAATCAGTGTTCAGGGTCATTATTCTGACCCTGTCCTGGTCTCTGAAACATAATGAGCTGCTACCACAGGTATTCTATAGGCTTGCCTTCATGAGACCTAGAAACTTGCTCCGAAGGAAGTTAAAACTGCATTTTTCAAGGTAATTCTGCCCAGACCCCCTTCAGAGGTTCTGTTGTATATTCATAAAAGCATCTCAGGAAAGGGGCCAGAATATGTAGATCGGAGGATCGTGAGCATATTGTCTCCCAAGAGATGAACAGAAATCTCCTCCAGTTACTATCTCGTTTTCTGAAACTCCACCAGATCTTGCTTGTTCATAATGGATGTCCTGGGCCAGCTCAAGAACCACTGTTGTTCTTTTCGGAATATAGAATTGGCTGGCCAGGTGCCTCCAAGAAACCCACAAATGGTGCATAAAAGGCTTTTTATCCTTTACCAGCTAGTCTTCAGGGGTTGTCACTGGTTGATGAAGCCCGTTTGAAATGTTCAGGTGGATCCGGACAGAACTTTCCTCCCTGCTCCGTAAGCACCCCGCGCTAGTCAATTAACATTTTCCTGTCTTCCTGCCGATCCCCGTTCATTGCTTTGGGCTGCTTTAGTGACTTTTTCTCTTGCTGCTTCATTAACATTCTTGTCCCACCCTGGAGCTGAGTCTGTTGTTCTGGAACAAAGCAAGCTTTGTAACCAGCATTGGGGAGCTGCGTTTGGATTTGGGCCAGTCCCAGTCTTCCTATGCTCCGATCAATCCTATCATCAGGAGGCACCTGATGTCGGTCGAATAGTTTCGCCCCCATTTCAACCTCCCCTCCCCTCCCCTCCTTGTCTCAAGGAACTCACACGGATCTTGGGATAATATTCACAAAATCCAACTGATTTGGGACTTTCTTGATGCCTTCGTACACCCTCCTGTTCCTCTCAGTTTTCTCTGTTGGGGTTCTAGACCCTTTCAATCTACCCAATTATTCCAGGTTGTCTGGGAGTAAATGGGACCTAAAGCAGCCATATTCCAGTTGTGCACATGTGTGTGTTTTAAAGGGCAGAGCAACTGACTTTTTTGGCAACTTAACAAGGGTGTCTTGCCCAAGACTATTAATAATAAAGACGTTTTGCAAAAGTTGGCCTCCTAGGGACCCTGAGAGAGGAGATTTTATATTATCTGGAGCTACAACTAACTGAACTGCCTTGTGTCTCATGTAAGCAGATCTCTCAGCTTAATTGATATTGCAGTAGTAAAGTCTTCCGTAAGGATGGAGGTCTAGAAAACCCACGTTCTTGCACCAGTCTTTCTCAGTCTTGTGCCCTACATCTAAAGGATTGGGGAAGATGGTGCTGTGTGTGTAGAACAGTGTTTCTCAACCTTGGTAACTTGAAGATGGGTGGACTTCAACTCCCAGAATTCCCCAGTCCAGTCATCTTCAAGTTGCCAAAGTTGAGAAACACTGGTGTAGAAAAAAGAACAATAGGATTCTTAGACCATAGCTTGTTGACCATAACTTGTTGACCATTTCCAAACTTTAAAAAAATATATGAGAGCTACAATTTTTTTTAAGCACTTGGCCAAGACTCTCAGATGTACACAGTCCATGTCGGATTTGAAAGTTCACTACTTGAGTAGACCATAAACATACCTGTCTTCCTTCTAAAAACAGTTGCTCAAGACTCGATGCTGGAGATGTGCTGGATGTATTTACATTTATGTGCAAAGATTTCATAAAACTCCCCTGGGAGCAGCTGTTTTAGGATGATGTTGGGAATTCCTTTAACTCTTTCCTGGATCCTTAAAAATTTTGAGAGGCATTTGTGTCTGTTAAACCAGATTGAATCCAGTTTAAATGGTAGCAGACCTGAGCCCCAGAATGAGAGAAATTAGACCGGGAAGATACCTCACCACAGCTCCCTGCATTGACACCATCCCCATTGACAACCCAAACCACTTCTTTTTAACAAATGATTTTTTTTTTCACTTCTAGGACATAAAAGCATTAGATTATCCATTTAATTCCACTCCTCAGTAGAATTCTCTTCCAGAAAGGACTCCTGAATTGGCATATGCCTTGGAAAGAAGTTTTAGGTTTTGTGGAGAAGTTTGCATAAAATTCTTTAATTCACGGATTAACATGTGCTATTTTTCACATCTTCTGCGCGCGCACCCCTGGCCAGCAAACTAGAGAGGCCAGATATCTATGTGGAGCACTGGAGCATCGGAACAGAGTATAGAGACCTCTTTTCAGCCATAAGCTGTGCATTGTTATTGGCTCTAACCACTGCACAAATAGTTTCAGTATTCCTGTAGATCTCGTTGACCAGTTTACGCTGTAGAAATCTTCCTTTCTAGCCTTACGGTCACCAAGGGAACACTGATCTGTTGAAAATGCAAAAACCGAAGTAGAGATTGAGACTTCACGTAATTCTTGGGCCCTGCGCGCTTCCATCGCTAAAACTAAAACCTGCTATTGGCAAACATTTTTTTTTCATTTGAGACAATCAAGTCTTCTGCATCACACTTCATTCATTCATTCATTCATTCATTCATTCATTCATTTATTCATCAGATTTATATGGCCGCCCATCTCACGGAAAAGTGAGTCTGGGCGGCGTTTACCAATTTAGCAAGCTCCATCATCTCTGAATTGCCTTCCCATAAGGATGTCCCTTTGATCTCTTGATGATGATCCATCCCCGTCTTCATCTTCCTGCTTCAGAGCAGATCAAAGAAGGAGAACGTTTACAATGGAAAGCAAATTGGTTTTAATAACAGCTTTCCTTTCCAGCTCTTAAACCCCCTTTCACCAAGCTGCCGTGATAATTTTAGAGCGTGGTTAGCTGCTGCAAACTAACATACAGCAAAGAGAAACAGCAGGATGAGGGTCAATCATTAGAAAATGATTCCCACCTACTCAACCAGGGGCTTTGGCTTCCAAATTGAAGGCTGGAAATGGGTCCTCCTGTTACTAGATTCCTCAGGAGGTGGGGGGCCAGATTCGGTATCCAAAACACTTCCCTAAATCTGAAGTGGAAATCCTTACAGTTGTGAAGTGGAAGAGCCAAAGGCTTTAGGTTTTGCCGAGATGAGCCCAGGGCAGTGGGGACTTCTTCCAAGCTGACTCCCAAACATTTGTTTGCAGAGGCATGTTGGAAAAGCAACTGAAATTACAGGGGAATCGTTGAAACAAAAGAAAGGCTAATTTTTGCTCCCCAGTTATCCATCGCAAATGGCACCCACCTCTTATTTTTAAAGTTTTTGAAGTTTGTGGGCAGTGATTGGCGATGTACCCAAAGTTTCACCCCTGCTTACTGGGTTAACCTTGGGGGGTCTGGGTCTTTTGGTGGCCAAGCCTGCCTAGGTGACCCCAGGCCAGGTCGAGAGGAGGGTGAGGTCCTCCCTGCCTTGTTGCCCCCATCCTTCCCTTGATGACTGGAATAATAACCACGCATGGCGGGAATGTGATTCTGTGGTTTCCAGCAATCACTTCTTCTCATGGTGTAGAAGATTTTGCATTTGTTGGGGTTTATGTTTTCATTTTAAAAAAATCTCAGAATGCCTCTGATTTGGGGACGGGTGGGGAGGGGGGCATTTGACTTTTCTGTTCATTCATTGTCCAGCTTTATTTTCTTGCAGGTCTTGCTGTTCTTCACCTTCTTCTGCTGTGTGATGTTCCAGCTTTGTCCTCCGCCTGCTTCGCTCCCATCTCATCTCAAAAATCTCAAGCTGTAGACAACCCGGTGGTGCACTTCCCTCTCATGACAATCAACCTGCTTTCTTGTTGGTTCGGGCTGGTTTTAAAGAAAAAACATTTATCTCCAGACCCGCGGGCTGAGCCAGACTGGAAACGGTGGCCGAGATTTCTCCCTTCCCTTTGTCTCCGTTAGCCGAGCCGGACAAAGGGAAGAAAAGATGGGTCTTCGAAATGAAACAAAGCAGTGGCCATCGGTTTAAAATGATTGCAAGGGTTCAAGGGCAGATAACGTGGACAGGGATCAAAAGGGGGGGGGTATTATAATTTTGCCTTCTCTGGTAGAGTGCAGTGGGTGCTGGGAGCTCTCACTTCGGGAGGCATCTTGGTGTGGGGGCGCTTAGTGCCTTTTCTCTCTGCATGTGGCATGCGGTGATTCGGATTCTGTCTGAAAGGGAGGCCGTGGGAAGCCTGGAGGGTTTGGACTTTGAAGGGTTGCTTCTAGTCCAGCAGTGCTAGCCTTGTGCAGAAGTCGTGTGAAAATGAACACCTTCCAAATCCAGATCCTCTTAAGCTGATGGTTTCTTACACACGCTGTGGCGTAGATGCCGTTCCCCACGACGGCGTGCTAAGTCGAACCTTTACAAAAATAAACCAATAGTTGATTGGGTTTGAGTTGATCGTCTGCCTGTTTATGGATCAAGGCATCATTTTCTTCCAGGGCTAAGTGTCCCCAAAGCTGAGTGTTTTGCCCAAGAAGACAAGCTTTGGAGGATTGCTTTCTCTCAGTAGCACCGCGCCAGGGTGCTGTCTTGAGGCATCTGGCAATGTTAGGCTCTTCTGAGATCATCATTCAAGTGGCCAGTGTTCTCCAGTGAACAGAGATGTTCTTCTTTCTCTAGCCCAGTGTTGTCCAAACTTGGCCACTTTAAGATGAGTGGACTTCAACTCCCAGA